CAACATGGAGACTGTGCCCTTACACCCACTGCTTTTTATGATCTTACTTAAATTAAACCTCTTAGCCCCCATATGAAGTAGGTTTTACTCTATTTTGTAGACTGGTTAATTGTATTGCAGAAACCCTCAGTGGACATGCCAGAGGCTACAGAGGGAGCCAGCAGCTTTGAGATGGGGTTGGCTGCCAAGCACTATTTTGTTCCAAGTACTGCCCCTGAGCCTGCAAGATTGGAGTAACTGTATTATTTCTATGTGGTGCCCCCTCCAAGCTCTTTTATCATCTTCTTGACCAGACAGAAAGATGAAGACTGTTGGTCCAAAACAAATCTGGGCCCCAGGCACTCATTAACCTTGGAAATTCTGCTCAAAGTGCAAATTGTGCAGCAACTGGCTTAGAGGATGAGATTCTAAATCCAAAGGGCCTTAATGTAACTAAACTTCAGTTTCAGAGCCAATTCTATCGTAACAGCACAGAAGGCAGAGTATGCCACCAGCAACCGGTTATACACTACATGGGAAGAAAGAGACTTCTTGTGGCTTTTGTTGACATGTTTCAATACAGTATTAAAGGATAATTTAAGGAAATAACCTTATAATATTAGCTGCTACTGTGGGAGGGACTCCACAAGATGTCTCTTCTTCTCTCCTTGATGTGTATTACCCCAGTGGAAGCTGCAATTTTGGCTTCCAATCTCTGCTGTCAAACACGTCATTCCCAACTCTACAGGCAGAGTTGACAAGCCCAGTCTTCACTCAGCATTGGGCTAGGCACAGAAACAGATGCGTTACGTGCTGACTACTGGCTTGCATTTCCAGAATTGTCCAGACTTCCCAAGCTCCTGGAATCCCTATGTGCTATGCTCGCTAATGGGATTTCATGACAAGATGAGAGCTCACAGCACTAGGCTTCTGGTGAGGAATGTGGGTTTTTGCACTGGTTGCAGCACACTCTCTTTTGCCCAAGGAGACCAAAAGCAGCTGGTCACATGGAGTCTGGGAGCAGAAGAAAAGCAACAGTATATGTTGCAAATATAAGAAATGCCAAAGGCACAATGGAGAGGCATGAGATAGGAACAAAAACAATTAATGTCTGCTCAGCATCATGAGACTTCACGGGACTCAGATCCTCAAAAGCCTAACAGTGATATTTCCAGGGACTTGTTATAATGGTAAGATTAAAACAAAAAATGAAACAAAAAAAACCCTCCAACGAATGCAGCAATACCAAATTCAATTCCACTTCTACATTTTTTAAGATTTCGAAACCTTTCAGATCCGAAAATTGCAATTTCCTGCTGGAAGTTTAGAAAGCCCAATCTCCCAGGGACCATTACTGCAAGGAAGCCCTGTACAGAAGGCACTAACACATCCAGCCTCCCTACCCTTAAGTCAGGATTCTGTAAAGGATGACTGTTCACAGGACTTCTCCCTATTCTGTGAAGCTAGGAGCCATGCCCAGGTCCTTGGAGAATCTAGGCTTCTTGCCAAAAAAGAGGAGTTTGAAAACCTGGGGCCACTCAGGGCTGCTAGGCTCCCTGCCACGAAGCTAAGATCTGAGCAGAGCTCTGAAAGGTGTGGCACAGATTCTGGAAGAGTTGGGAACTCTGAAACCCTTACTTGCTTCAGGGCTAATGGAGAGCTGGTAGCCAAAAAACCCTAGAGTCCTGGCTCGCCCATGAGCTGCACAATTGGAATCACAGCTATAGCTTGGTTTCTACATTATCAAAACAAAACTATTTTAATCATTTCAAACTTACACTGCTGCTTTTTTTATTTCTCAGACTTTTGCTTTCACAGGAAATTCAGAAAATCAATTTCCATTCTATGATAAAGTTCACTCCTGTTTCTGGGAACTGGCATTTCTTGAATTCCAATACAGAAAACACTATTTTCGATCAGCTCCACTCATGACGTCTAACTTCAGAATACAGGAAAAACCATTACAATTAACATGTACAAGTAATAAGCACATTATACATTCAGCACCGAATTGCCTCCCTGACCCTGTAGCCTAACGTCCCAGCAGGCATTTTGAGCAGTTTTCACCTCTGAGAAACAAAACAGGAGTCCTTTCTCAATAGTAAGTTCCAGACTGATTGCAGTAATAGCAGCAATGTTTTTATTGTCTTAGCACACTGGACCTTTATAAATTTTTTTAACTCCCTCAGAAGCAGCAATCATGGGAAACTAACAGAAGTGCTTTACCCTCTGCCACAAACAAGTCAGTGGTAGACGTGAGGTTAGATAGCAGCAGTTAATTCTTAGTCTTACTAAACAATAAAGCAGACTGTTTCTAGGCAGCCATTAATGTCTGATTATTAGGGTGAAGAGTAGCAAGTTTTGATTTTCCAGCATGAAAATTCCCCTGGAATTCCTCCAGAGTCCTCTAATGAATAGATGATCTCAACTTTAATCTTACTTCATAATTATCCAAGGATAACATTTCTTCAGTGTGGACTCTTTAAACACATACAATTTCTAGAACAAGTAATATTCAAACTAATTCATTTTTCCTTTGATCCACAAAATGAGTGTTGAGAAGCAAACAGCAATAAGGGGATGTTGAGGGTACATTTGAGGAGGTAGGAACTACAAAGTTCAGATTAATGCGATGGTTTGATCCCACACTGTCAAGATCAAAGATCTTCAATCTCAGTGCATTTTTCTAAGAAGCCAGCATGCCTTATATTGGCCTTTAAATTGCTCATGGAGTTATATCTGACATATATCTGCATTCTTGAGATGAACTAACACCAAAAGTTTACAGCTTGTCTTTTTTCTTAGCAACCTGAATGTGGCAACCTTCTCCAGAGAGACTCAAGATATACTCCTTTCATTTCCATTAATAGTAGTCTGCCAACACACACACACACAAAAAAAAAACAACAAAAAAAAAACCAACCAAAAATACAAAACTCCAGGCTAAATGAATACATTCTTTTCCACTTTTCCACTCACTCACTCGGGCTTACCATACAGCCTAATAACACTACAATTTTGTTTTAAAACTCCTCTTTTAACTTTGTGATGTGTGGGGAGGGAAATGCTGAGGGATTCTTGCTTCTGGCACCAAATACTAGGTACACAACAGGTGTATCTCACTCTGAGGACAGAGTTAAGTAGGGAGTTTGCCTTGGGCAGTATGTTGTCAAACCAAGATGAAGGTGTTGTAAGTGAACTCAGTGAGGACAAAAATCTGTTTCAGACCAAAAGACAAAAAGCTTGATCATTGTGGATCTTTGGTATGAATACAGACCATGAAAGTGAACCTTCATAATCCCTCTGAACTGAGTTTTAAGGAGATACCTGGACTGTTGAAAGGTAAGAGTACTTCCATGTCCTTTCTAATGCTGACAGCAAAAGGTAGTTGCAAGGGGAGAGAAACCACCTCCTCTTCCTCTCTTCAACAAACTCATGCTCTAAATGCAATCAAAGGCAGCAGAGAGGGATATAGCTAGGCCAGAGAGGGAGCAGGATCCACAAGAACACCAGAAAGTAGCACCAGGGAACCAGTGAACTATTCGACTCTAGGATAAAAAGGGAAAGAGGGTTGGCTGAGGAAACAGGTCCAATATCTCTCATCTGGCAGAAGTGTCAGAGAGTCTATAAGCTTCAATGCTTGGGGTTAAAGATTCCAGACCAGATTTGCAAATGGAAGAAAAAGGTTTATGATAAGAAGAACAGGGAGAGGCAAGTTCCCACTTGCCCTGATGACCCGTTGTTGTCCTTCCTGATACCTCTTGCCTCAGTTTCCAGAAGATTGATTTTTTTCAATTGACAAGGTCAAAACTGAAGTTACCTTGTTCATCATCCTAGCAGCAGCCAGTTTTGCTCATGCTAGCTACTAAGGCTAGCCTTGCAAAGACCAGTACATCCCATTCTTAGATATGGTTGTGACAAGATTTTACACAACTCGTACAATTGGGATTATAATGCAAGTTAGGAAGTTAGATAGTAAGCATTCTACGCGTTCTGAAGTCTGCTCCTCTTTCTCCCTTCCCTCACTGATAGTTCAGCTGCTTTTTTGTTGCCTAAATGCAGCGAGCCAGATTGGTATGGCTTGATAAAGTTACAAGCGTCTGAAATGACATTCCCAAGCTATGTCCAAAGTCTACATTTCAAATGCAAATCACTGCTTAGAAGCTTCCATCTTTTCCTGTCCCTTCACAGACCTCCCTCACTCAAAATCACTGTCTAAAGTTTCCTGACTTACTGTGTATTCATATGATAATTACCTGTGCTAAGAGTGTTAGTCTGAATGAAGTTCAAACTGTATGCTGTTAAAGAGATAGGATTTATATACATCTCAATACATCATTTACAATTATAGTGTCTACCCCACTAATTAGGAACAGAATAGTTAGTTATGGCTATCATTAAATATCATTAAAAACTAGAGTAAATTCAATAAAATTCCATTGATTCTTACTATACTCTTTGTGCTACTATTTTACTTTCTTAAAAAAAACGGAACAGGGACATGGGGAAAAGTCTACAGCTTCCCTCCATTACAAGTAGGTTAAAGCAAGTAATAGGATGTTATCTTCTCTGTATATAACACATTCAATTATAAGAAGCAGCAGCTTTGAAGGACTATCTTAGCTAATTGCATAATTGCTATTGTAGCCATCACAAACTGTAACGACAAAATAGTAAAAATTAGTGATTTGCACCAAGCAGAAAGGATTCAGGCAGATTTCTCAGTCAGTTCAGAATTAATTAATAAAGTCTATCTGTAGTCCCAAATCACAAGAAATAGCATTATTCTTAAGCATGAACATCCAGAATTTTGTTCAAACAGTATCTTGACATAACATTACAATATTATCATTATGAATTACCTGAATGCATGCTATTGTAAAACCCTAGGATTTTATTATTTACAGTATATCCTCTCAATCACAGCCTCAAAAATAGCCCTGTAATGAAATAACCACAGAAAGATGTGTTAGACAGATAAAAGTATACATGGAAAAGAATAAATCACAAGACTACTATTATACAGACAATACAGTTTTATTATGTTCTTTCACCAATTGTAGCAAAAACATTTAACAACTGAATGAATCATCAAGGGAACTTAATTGCCAACAGGAATTTCAGAATTATGTTCTAAAATTTAGACCAGGAAGGCTTGACAAGGAGAAAACAAACCATATACACACCATAATAATAGTCTCTATTATGAAGATTTAATGCCTTCTTTAAAAGCACTGAGATTATTGAGGCACCTTACTGCAGGTTATGTATCATCTCCTCTTTGGCAATGAGATGTGTGGTTTTGTTAACTAGGGCCATTAGTGAGTTGAGCTTGTGAGACCAGTCATTGAGTATGTTGTTTGGGTCCTTAGGCCTCTGAAAATTGATAATTCCTGCCAGCCTGTCTACTTTAGCAAAGATGGTCTTATTAACTACTAGGTTAGACAGAAACTCCTCCGATTCCTGTAAAGACAAACAGCACCAAGTCAAGAAAATAGCATTTTTATCTACAAAACGCCAGAATTCCTCCCAAACAGCATTAAAGCACAAGGAACAAGATTTTCTTTGTACTTAACAGAAATACAGCTGTATTAATATTGTACTTACAAAAAACCACACAATAATATTACACATGTTGGCACTGCAAAGTATTGGCACGGTCTTTTTTTTTTTTCCCCATTTGACCTATATTTGATTATCTTTCATGAAATTAAAAGTTTCTATTACTACACCAACAGACTTTTACAATTTGGAGTACTTGGCTACAGAGATATCGAAACAAGCTGTCTGACAAGCAAGGCATAGGAAGATCCGTGTGAATTACTGACCACTGTCAAAGAAGGTTTATTCCAAGTTTGTGGACAAGAGCAGATTTAATTAAAAGACAGTAGGGTAAAGCTTTTCATTTGCACTCGACATACCAATATGCCATGATGTACGAATCTTTTTGGAAAGCTCTTGAAAACACAAAGGGTGATGACAGCAAGACTACTCCACCCCGTGTTCCCAAAGTACAACCATCTATAAACAGGGACATTTAAAGGTGAGAAACCCTGTACCTTCAGTCAGTTTTAATCACCCATTGACAAGAACTTTTTAACACTGAAACACAAGACAAGAAGTTCCAGCATTTAAATGAGACCTTGAATATAAATGAATTTTATGAGCAGCTTTTGCCTTACAGGCACATGCATCATGAAATTGAGTTCTGCCTGGATTAAAAAACAGTTTTCTAACTCCCATAAAGGCATGAAAATACACTCAGGTCTTCATATTGACTAGTAAAGTGACAAATATTCAAATTAATACTATTACTCCCAATAGACTTTTACACTACTTCTCATAAAAAGAACCCTACGAACTAAAGTTCAGTTAATGCTCCCTGTATATCACTATAGCACACTTGGTTCTCCCTGTAAGAGCTGAAAAGCACTGGTAACACAAACAGGGGAATTAGACTAAGGATGAAGCCAGGAGAGCCACAAGGATAATACAAAGACAGATATATATAGATACGATGATAGATACTATATCCATGAACATTCATAAACACACAAGTGTAAACCCTGAGAATTTTGTACCAAGCAGCATATTTCTACAGTGCTACTTCTTTCTGCATTGTCTGTAAAACAATGCAATGATGATTTATGGCATCACTTACAGAGCTTTTTAAGCTAAAAAGAGAAGCCAAATTAAAAGAGAATGTTACTCTGCTGCATACTTACATTATTGGCACAAACACATGCACACATACACTTCCACATTCTTTATACAGAAGGATAAGCAAAGCAACACTTACATCAACGGAGAGATCCAGGAGCTGTGCCATTCTCTTCATTGTAATTCTGGTATAATATTTAGCCATTATTCTAATATTCTGGAATAAAAGTGTTCAGAGTAGAGGGTTATGTTCAAAAAATAATTGAAGCAGGCTGCAAAAATATAAAAGTCAATGTTAAAAGCAGATTAGGAGCTGTAGTGCTCTAACAGCAGTCCAGCATAAGGTACGTGAGGGAGTTGTGAACAAACAGTTCTTTTGCTTGTAAAAGGTGTAAAAGTCTCTACATGACAAATTATTAAGTAATGAAATCAACTAATTATGAATTTAATACAAAGCACAACTTTCAAGTTTCTGCTCTATTGAAATGTGAACGCTAAATCTCACACTTTGAGTGCAACTTTTTTCTGGCAACTGTGCCAAATACCTATCTATAATAAAGATACACAAGCAAATACAATGTTGAAAATATAACACAATGGAAAAGGCAACTTTTCTGATGCTTTACTATATACTTCTTCTGTTTCTCTTTGTAACTAAAATATGGCAAGCGAAAAGCATTTTTAGTTGAGGCACTGAATATATAGCTAATGCTTAAAGACAGCCATACTTACATGTTCCACAACTCTATTCTTTAAATCTTTCCATCTCTTTTCACCTTCCTCTGTACAGCCAAAAACATCTGTTGCAGGACTGTCAAGGGATCCTTCTCTCAATTCTTTCCCGTATTCTTCAACTAGGGCAGTCCATCGCATCAATTCCATGGTGGTAAATAGTTTTAGGAGGTCTCTAAATGGTTTAGTAAAGTTGATTTACAATCCTGTATTAATAAGGCTCATTTCATACTTAAATAGATTAAAGAAATAATGTTAAATGTTTTCATTTTATTACCATTAATATGCATTGTTCTTCATTAATATACTCTGTAATACTTCACGCTATCGGGGGCAGCTCAAGTCAGACTGTGTTTCTAATAAATATCTTTCTCTTATAAAGAGACACTTATTTTAATGTAGAACTTGCACAATCATGAAAATTTTGCAGTATTTTTCATACAGCATTAAATTCTGAGATGCTTACAGCAGACTTAGCATAAAGAGACTTCACTTGCACAGTTGATTTGAGAGAGACGCTTTTTTTTTTTACCTAAGAATTGTTTATTAGAAAGCATACTTACTTATACTTCGGGATTTCTTCTAGCTTTTTGTCACTACTAATTCTGTGCACCAAATCAGATTGTTCGTTGTCGTAAGGTGAAAGAATAACATAAAGAACAACGCTCTTCAGTGCCTGTTTAAGAGGAAAGAGTGTGGTTTTTTCCCATAATTAAACAGAGGAATTGAAAACACTGCTCACAATGCTTAGAGTTTCCCATGTAAAAGGCTTAAGCCCAATGTATTAAGAAGTTAAGGTGAAATTGATGTCATCTTGCAGAAATGAACCTTCATTCAAAGTGATACATTTAAATTGATTCAGGTCAACTAAAATTCTAGTATTTAAAATAAATACATGAAAAAGAATCTTTTGATATACATAATATCTGTTGTGCATACACAACAGTATCAATTAGACCACACTTGCACAGCTGTTTCTCATTTCCGCACTTGTACAAAACAGACAAGACATTCTCAAGATTTCAAAGACAATATAATGATGATGTTAGTTATAAATATTCATTTGAAATCAACCTTATTATATCAGGTTTTAACTAACCAATTTGTTAATATAGCCATTAAAAAAAATTAAGAACAACAGACCGATGAGCTATTTAATCTGCTGTGAATTGATCTGGTAATGAAATGGCTACTTGCCACATGAAAATACAGACATTTTCTATGTAACGTTTTTTTTACCTGCTGCCACTTTTCACTTTCAGCCTGGATACATGGAGTATCATAAATGGCTCTGTAGTGCTTACAGATGGAGAGGTAGGAGCCTTCATGTTGATCCAGCTGGATCATTAAGTTGTAGTATTTCAACTTTAGTTTCTGAAACAGTATCAAACAGCAAAATTAATACAGCTCCATGAATCATGTAAATGAAATACAACTCAATCCCAAAAACAGAGGGATTCAAATACACTTGGACCTGAAGAGAGGCATGTCAGATAAAAATTGGGATGGGTTGGGGAGAAAGAGAAATCCTCCAATGACTTACTTCTGTGTTTTCTTCTTGAAAAAATTTTGTATTAATTTTTTTGCTGATAATTTGAGTCCGTATATAGTCTTTTACAGCTAGACAGAGTCTCATCTGCTCCAAGATAAATTCTACACGTTCTTTCTTTTCCATTGAACCATAGGTTTCCACCTAAAATGAAAAGGTAACTATTTAACACTGTCAAAGTCAAATCAAGTGAAGTCGTAACTACACAAGAAGAGTGGGAGATTGTCAGGGGAGGAAAACAAAACAAAACAAAACAGAAGAAACAGCTATTCCAGAGCAAGTGAAAACAGGAAAAGGTTATTCCATTTTAAATCAGAGCCCCCACTTAGACCGGAAGAATCTACTAACACTAAACTCAATGCGCTACTTAGAGAATTGAGATCTGTTTTCCAAATAGGAAAAATTCTATGTAACCTAACCACGAGACTAACAAAAGCAGTTAAAACTGAATTACACTTCCCTAATAACAGTTAATCTAATTCCAGGCATTTCTGCAGATATACCTGATTAAGTTTCTAAACAATAATCTAAGAGCAGTCAGAATTAATTTTTATTGCTGACGCAATTTTGCGTTACAAGGCATGTTACCTGCAATTCTTGCAGAATAGAGGCAGCCTCTTTCACTTCCCCATTCTGTTCTTTTATTGTTGCAAGTGTCTTTGTCAGGCGAGCACGTTCAATTTCCACATATATCTGAAATCAGAAGTAGTAGTTTAAAAATTGGAATTTTCTAAAGAAGAGTGCAAACTCTAAGACCAGAACCCCACTAAGACATATATTTGATGTTTTCATATAACCAATTAATTCCTTGTGTATCCATACACTCTACTGACACTATCCACAATATACACAGATAAAATATGACGGATAGTTGACACAGCAGAAGTATTTGGACCAAATTAATCTAAAAATTAACGTCTAAATTCATCTGCCATTCTTTAAGCAAACATAAAAGGATGCGCACTGTGAATGAAGTATTAGGTATTTTGTCTGCTAAAATATACTGAAACAGATACGAAGTTAAGACTTTAATGGTTCATTTGTACTAAGTACTACCATTCACATTATTTCACTAACTCCTAACCAGCCATAAATCAACAATACTTGCTTACTAACAATTTAGATTAACTTTGAACAGATAAAAGCTGTAACATTAATACAGATTTGCCTTAATCCAGAATTATTTATTTTCTTAAAGCAAAAGGAATATTATGTAAGTAATTAACTTGATGTAATGCTTTGATATCACCTACTGGTTACCCTAACTGTACGTAACACCTTGTAAGTGCAGGAGAAATTAAACTAAACTTGCCCATTTTTCTAACAATTTCAAATATGTAACATTTTAAAAAGCAAAAAATAAATGGCGTTCTAGAACTCTGAAATGTATTATTAATTATATTAATAATATGTCCAAATATCTGCATAATGCAAATATCACCAGTGTTTCAGCAAATTATTTAAATATAAAATCTGGAAAATATTTGCAGTCTTTGGAAAGAAATACACTACTTGGCTTCTCAGGTTAATTTAAAAATTACTTTTGCTCTTATTTGAACAAGATTAAAAAATAATGTTAGGAAGCTATGCTTTTAAAGAAGGTGAACATTTTTATTCTACCTTTTAGACATTCAGTCTTAAAACAAAATCTTACTTTTCCTTCTGTAACCATACGCAACGTGTCAATTAAGCGCAGTTTGACTGGTAAGTCTGTGATGTCTTCAACGTAAGTGCAGCACTGCTGGACCATTTTAGCAACTGCCTAGTACAATAACAGAAAAGAACATACTGTGTTTTCAGATTTCACAAATGCATTCAAACTGTAACACTCAGAGATAAGTACTAGATAGTTTCATATCATACTAAAGAGACTCATTTCAACAAAAAGCATGCAAGATACATCTCATTACTTTGGTTCATAAAAACATGTAAAATGATGCTACCAACTGATGCTAGAAGACAAATGTGATGCTGTCCTGTCATTTCTTTCATCTCAGTTTTTCCCATGATATTCAAAATAGTTCATCCTATGCGGTTCTCTCTTGAAAAGTAGTACTCCTCTTCTACCAAATCCACACGACTCTCACACGGACTGACAAAACTTGCCTGTTTGCCCTAAGACCTGCATGGCTAAAGGGAAGGTACATCTTCTCTTAAGTGTATGCACTAGCCATTCTCTTTAGGACACCTGTAGATTTTTCAGGAAGGACACCTGTAGATTTTTCAGGAAGGGAAGGAAGAGGGGTAATTATTTCTGACTGATGCTTTTCCATCTCTGCATATTCCCAAACAGGCACTAATAAGCTAGCATCCTTCAGTGGCAAGCACAGGTATTGGAATATGTTCTTCTGGTAACAACACTGACAAAGCTGTTACAATTATTATTAAAATACCTACTTCTGGGAAAGAAAAACAAAAAACAAAAAACAAAAGCAAACAGAATGAAACTTCTAGAAACTTCTTCCTCAAGAAGAAAATTCAGCTGAAATGACCCAAGTCTTCAACCACAGTTTGTTCAAGTTAGAGAACTAAACTGTACTCTACTTGTATACAAACTCCTAAAGTTTCTGCACATTAAAAGGTAGCTAACCTTTTTCTTCCTAAAGCAATGATGCCTTTAAAATTACCTGTTGCTGACTTCTAATTAAGTCAAACTAAACACAGTGCAATATATGTTGTACCTTCTTAAATGCAAGTGCTTTCAGCTATCCTGATACCTGATTTCTCACAGAACTGCATTCCAGAGTATCACAGTTTCAAAAGCAAGTATGTAAAGCATACACTTTATTCGATCACAATAAATTACAATAACTCTGTTTAATGTACACCTCACGTGAACATAAAAATTAAGAATACGTTTACAATACAGACTGCAGAAGAGTGTAAAGATGAACTACCATCTAAAAGCACTGGTATGCATGAAAGCAGAAAAGTCACAGCTGTGTTGCCAGGAATGGCAAGCTGGACCACACAGAGCTCAGGCACAAGGTGAAGACAAATTCCAGACCTCAGTTTCATTACTGGCTTTCATATGTCTAGCAAAAAATGTCAACAGAAGCTATTTACAATATATTCAGCCAGGTGCTACAAAGCCAGGAAAGTCCCTACCCACAAGGGGGAATTAGATATATAATACAGCTCAAAACATAACTTCATTTTTTGTTTCAAAGGATTAAATTCACCTGTTTTAACTGACTTCTTCTCTTTGATAGGAGAATAATATTTTCATTAAGAGCATCCCAGTCTTTAGCTTCGTAACACATTTTCACTATAGCAACTAAGATACGGGATGTGGAGACCATGTCAGATGCCTGTAACAAACAAACACCATATTAGTGATGGGATAAACAACCTGCAGACCTCTATCACTTGCACTTCTGTTATAGCAAGGGAAAAAAAAAGATTACATCTAGCCCGTTGATTTTCTTTTAAAAGAAAAGAACAACAGAGAAAGACTGATACTCTAATTCCTTTCAGGACTTTAAGGCACCGGAACAAGGTGGGGGGTATAGGACAATCCAGCATAAATGTTGGGACACTATACGCTACTTACCGTTCGTGTTTGTTTTTCCAAGGAGAGAAGGTTTTCAATTACTTCCTGCAATCTTCCTTCCTAATGTGATAGGCAAAGAATTATCACCATGAGTGGAGAACACAATTCAGTTTAAATTGAGAGTAGCTCTAATTATCATGCAAGTAAAAACCATAAACGAGCCTGTACACTCATCTTTAAGGTGTTTTTTTCCTTAAAAAAAGAAATATATATAGCACTGACTTTAAATATATGGTTCTACACACAGATTAAACTGGAAAAGTACTAGTTCCATTTTTGCCCAATACATGCTATAAGTTGTCTGTCTAGTGCAAGAAACCTAGCAAGTTTCAGACAGGTTTGGTTAGCTGAAATTCACCGAGCTAGATGGAAGACTGATCTTCCTAGCCAAAACAACACTTTAAGTGAGAATAGATATGCAATTAGATACCTTGGCCAAAAAATTGGTTTACTATTACTTTCATCCACATTCATCATATCTTAATTACAGCATATTTTAGAAAGCATAAACTACATGCTTTACAGCCTAAGCATGGAATTATAATAGTCCTGCTTTTTGGGTTTTGAGAACGATATTTGCCTTTATTTAGAAGAGTTAAAGATACCACAACGTACTTTTAGTCCTAAATTGTAATTCATAGCAAATATCTTATAAAAAAAATGTTAATGTGGGAGAATTTTTAACAGCCCATGGCAACTGTGAGGCTGCAAAAAAAGGTTAGAAACTAGAAAATTAGTAACAAAAAAGAGAAAATTAAATTTGTTTCTAATACATACCTACCCTACCGAAATCTTTTAAATGATATATAATGGTTTGTAAAGGATGTGCTCTTACTGCCACAAAAATTTACATGTTACGCAGCAAAGAAACATGGTCATGGTGTCCATACCTACGCAAAGCTGTGCCCATGGGATAAAACACCTGTGCCTACTCTCCATACAGTACAGTCTTAGTGTAAGATGCAATTTACTTATCTTAAGGCTACTGCCTTCAGAATTCTACAATATGCTATACAGTACAACATGTCTATCGCAACGAGACACGTGGATCAAGCGGGGCATTTGCAGCATGTAAAGAATCAGATGCCATCCTACTGGGATAGAACATAACAGCAAATCCAATCTGTCTGTTCTGAGGTCTGAGATGCGTAAGAATCTCTACGCTACAGAACAAGTTCATAAAAGAAATCTTAAGATACAGCATACGCATGATTACCTCCACGATCCCATCAGCAAGACAGTCTGTGGTCGCCTACGGCTGAGTGCACACACACTTTCGCTCGGCAGATGCCAGGCGCCCTATCAGCCTGCCGTGGCTCTGACCTTCCACTCCAGTCTCTCGGGGCACACACATAACCGAGTTAGAAGGACCCAAAGCGCTGCCTGTCTAACCTGGCAGAGGATCAATTACACGGAGGCAGCTCTGGCACACAGCAGTCCTAGGATGAACAAGCACCTACGTGTCTGCCCAGCCGCGCTACCCTCGGAAAGTGGCATCGGGCAAAAGCCATGTCCCTTCTGGTGAACTCGGGCCTTCCTATCCCCTTACCGGCGAGGCTGCACCCTGACATCTCCTCTCGCCTCCCTCCTGCCCACCATCCTTCTGCCCCCCCACCCCCTCCCCGTACACCGCCCATGAAATGGTGGAGCAGTCCCTACTTCCCCCCTTCCCCAACCCGGCACGGCAGGGCCCGAGCCCCGGACCCCTCAGCACCGGATCGGGTGACAAGAGGCGGCTGCCCGTCGCGCCTCACGTCCCCGTCCCCCCGCCGCCACCGGGCCGCCTCCCCGAGCGCGGCCTAGCGCGCCCCACGCCATGACTCAGCCCATCCGCACCGCCGGCCTTTCCCCCCTCCCCCTCACCTGCGCCAGCCGCTCGCACTCGGGCAGCCGCTGGTCCACCGTCGCGCTGTAATCCACCTCCATTTTCACGATACGGCCATCGGCCCGCTCCGCGCCGCCCTCCGCCATCTCCCCGGCCCCGCTCCGCTCCGCGTCCCCCCTCGAACACACACCGGAAGCCAGCCGGGTCCTGCGCGCAGGCACGGCCGGGGCAGCCCCGCGGAAGGCCCCCCGCCCCCTTACCCCGCACTGCGCCAAACAGGCGCTTGCCGGAGCCACCTCAGCCCGCCTCAGGACCCGGGGCGGGGCGGGAGGGGAGGCGCCAGCTCTGAGGGGAGCGGCGGCCGCCGGCGGTTCTCGGCCTGCGGGCGGTCCCGGAGGCTGCTCCCGCCGCTTTGCCCCGGCCTGGCTCTCTCGGAGCCGTGTCCCGGGCTGAGGGAACCCCCCCACCAGCACCTAGGAAAGGGGAGGGAGGTGATAGATGCGGGGCGGTGACTTTTCATGGAGTCCAGTCACAGCCCTCGGCTTGCCCTGTGGCCTGCTGCCTCAGCAGGGGTGTGGGTTCCCAGCACAGTTGCCGCAGGCACGGTGTTGGTGGTGGCTTGTGTGTCAAAGAGCTTGAAACCTTGCTAGGGCCCTAGGGTGTAGGGTGGTGAGTCAGGAGGACCTTGGGTTTATGCTGTTTCCCCACGTTCTGAGAGAATCCTGCCACGTTGACGCGGTAGGCTGCACCGTGGTATGGCCTCTCTGGAGGACTCGGTGTGCGGTAGCTGGTGACTTCACCATGGTGATCTCAGTGTATCTCGGGTTCTAGCCTTGAGTCATTTAATCATCTGGCATTGCTGGAGAGGTGAGGAAAAGATAGGAGACACAATGGTTTTTAAGAGCACAGAGATCCTGATCATAGCCAGTGTTGCACCGTGAACGTGTTTGATAAGCTGCTGTGAGGCATTGATGCAACACTTGCCATTGTAGATTGCCATCATTTCCCATTCCAATACAATTTCATATGCTAAAGAAGTTTTATTCACTGGAGAAATTCAGAGACTCAATCATGTTGCAAGCAAACAACTCGGAAGGAAACAATGATCAGTGAATGCCCTATGTCTTTGGATGTTATTTAAGACTCCCAGAAAATTACCGTGAAATTACATTGTGTTGTGTTACTTTATGACCATACCGCATACGCAACAACATGTTAATGTGTCAAAGAGGTATTTGAGATAACTATTTTAAATCTTTCACTTACAGAATTAAGACCTGAGTTACTACATCTGCTACACTGGTGTAAATATAGAATAATCAGTTAAGTGAATTCAGAGCTATAATACTGTATTTTGCAATTGTGTCCGATATATGCTTTCCAATTAGCACAGAACAGACCATGGACTTTGAGTCACTTTCTGTTTGAACTCAAACTTGATTTTAAAAGTCCAGTAACAATTTATCCATTATCCTTAATAGTTTTTTCGTTATTAATTGACCTAAGTGTTGAAAATATATGCATGTATCAGAGAGTGTATGAGTTGTTCTTTCCTAACTCTAGCTATTCACAAATTTTTACAGAGCTTTGATTATTTATTTTGAATTGTAGAATCTCATTCTTTTATTATCTCATCGTAATATTAGTACAATTTTACAGCCAGTGGATAGGGAGTGATGGCTTTCAGGGAAGTTAAAAGTTGGATTGAACATATTCCCATACACAGTAATTTTGGTTCAGGCAGTGAGTGAAACAGGAAGAAAATTAATGCATACTGCAACTGTTATCTTCCTTTACCTGCATGGCTATGCTGGGAGACGAGGAGGCAGCTTTTGCCTCCAATGTAGACTTCTTGAATGGCTAAACCCCCCCTAAATTCTTATTCAAAAGCCCTTACTAAAATACCTGAAGACTTTTGCTGTCTCTTATTATGAAGCAACATTTTACTGACGCAAGTCCATCTGGAGTTAATGTTCAGCATGATTTAACATATGGGCTTTTTTTTCCCTCCAGGTCAAAAATGAAAGATGAGTGGAAAATGCCTTATTTTTACAACTGATCATAGAAAGCATGTTGCAGAGGTAAGAGTAATAGTTTCTGACAATTCACAGAAAACAAAGAATCAAAATTGAGGCAGGCATGCTTGGCAGAAACTTCCTGGCTAGCTGGAGCTAGAAGTTTTCTTTCTCAGCATGTCCCTTAGAAAGCATTTGGTGAGCATGCTTTGTAGAAAGTCCCAGGACAGTAGTCATAGTAGGGAGTTGTAAAGGATATTGGTAGGGTCACTGTTTTTTTTCCCTGTGTGTGTGTGGAGGCAGCACAAGACTGAGCTGTGCCTGTGGCAATAAGTATGGGGTGACTGAATAATGTTTTGCTGTAGGTATGGGAAATAATTTTGGTTTCCATTTTGAGTAGCTTCTGGATTTGACACACTACTTTCTGCAGATCTGCATGCTTTGTTAGTTTAAACAGAGCTATAAGGTTTGGTTTATGTTGAAAGTACATAACAGATGATAAACTAGTTTAGGTCTTTCTCCTGTTTTTATTGAAATCGATGTCTTTGCCTGTAATTGGGTAGCATCAAGGCTCTATGCAAAGAAGTTCAGGTTTTTTACACTGCTTTTCAGCAGAAATCCAGAGGTACTGTTCCTAATGAACGACACTGCTAGCAAATCACTTAAAATAGAAGTAGGTGTTTTAGATCTGAATTTGGATTACGTCTCATCTATAGGTAATATCACAGGTATTGCCTTGTTTTGGCTATTTTGCGTAGAAGTTTCAGGAAAATATACTACCAACATTATGAATTATAGCTACAGTTTGGGCATTTATAAATGGCTATTGTCCATTTGACCTAGATTTGAGATAGAAGACTCATTAACCACATTGTTCATACCTCAGTTGAAAATCCAGACTGTTAACAGAGCTCCCAGATTCTCTATTTCTTTGTGTAGGTGTTTGCACTTCACTGGAAAGGCAGGGTATGTGAAATATCATGCCATTATTGCAATGGAATGGAAAAGTTATGTTGTTACCTCCACGAGATGGCACTGTGTCCCCTCTGGGCTAAAAATGAGACACACAGCTTGAAATGTACGTTCAGAAGCAATGAAAGGCAGAGGGTTTTTTGCTCTTTCTTGTTATGAAACACACATTTCATTGTAGTCCTAAATTCATCTTTAACTGTCCCAGATATGAAATTTCATCACTTCTATTTTTGCAAATATTTTCTATTTAAATGCAGATGTATATTTTACCATTATCTGTACAGTGCCTTGTATTTTTGTATCACTGTCACAGTGCTTCTCTGCGATACCTGCTTTATAGACGTTTAGAAGACAGGAGGAGCAGCAATGGGAGCGTCTTATGATTTACCTGAGGTTGTGTCACAGTTTGGGGTTCTCAGCTGGTTTCAGAATTGGGTTCCTGTGCATACAAGTTGTAACTTAATAGTGGGTAAATTTCTCTGAAAAACACAAAACCCGAGTGTATTAAAAAACGATTTAACTACCAAATTGCCTACTAAGTAGGAAAAAAAAAAAAAGTCCTCCTAAAACGGTTCTGGCTTTATTGTTCAGCTAGGAAGGAGGCACTTTTTCCCTGAACTTTCAGCGTGGCATTTCCAAGTAAATAGCTGATAGGAAAAAAGAGTTTTATTTGTGTTGCAAAATCTGCCGGCTGATAACGAAGGGCTGACCGAAAGGGAAATGGGTGAGGCCTGCACATCCTGTGTTCTGTCCCCCCCGCACGCTGTCCTTTCTTCTGCAAGGAGGGACGGGCGCGGAGACCTGGAGCTGGCTCCCCGGCGGTCTCACGGGGGCTCTCTTCTCTTACACCGCGTTGTAAATGCTTTGCAAGGTGCGTTGTCACACGTAGGGCAATAAACTTGTCCAAAAAAAAATCGAAAAACTCTTCGCGGCAGAATTAATTTAAACCGCGATTTCTCCCGGGGCCCCCTTTCCCGGGAGGCACCGCCGGGCGAAACCCGGAGCCCCCGCCCCTTCCACCCCGGGGTCCCGGGGCCGCCGCGGTCCCGGCCACGCCGTTCTCTTAAACCCGCCCCCCC